ACGCCTTGTTATGAGCAGAGAAGACGCCACTATATTGGTCATCACTGCTATTCGGTGTTTTGCCTCCATTTGTTGTTTCCTTTTTCGAATTGGTCTGTGGTGAATTTTCCGCTTCCATTTTCGTCACACGGTAACTATCATCAAAGCTTGGAATGGCTGCTTCCACGAAGTCTTTTTGTGGTTTGCTCTGGGCATATGTTATGTAGTTCTCAGCATAGAAATTTTTCTTGGATATAACAATAGGCTCTTCTTTAGTCGACCGATTTTCGAAAACAACTTGCTGTCTATTCTTGTTCCTCAGTAATGGAGCGAGGATCTTCTTGTTCTTCATCAATGCTAGTTCTGTTCTATCTCGTAATCCATCATATAACCTTCTGAGGCGAATGCGAAAGTTTCGGCATTACTAACCGTACGAAAAAACCTGTCTCTTTTTTATAGGTTTCCAATTCCTTCACCATTTGTCTCTTCAATGCTTTCGGGTCCTCGTTTGTAAAGATTTGCCCTAGTGCAGCGAACGTGTGCCTCTCTTGATTTCCTTATCACAGATCGCCAGCACATCCAGGTTGCAAACACACATCTTTTGTCGTTCTTTTTTGTCTTCTGGGAATGTGCTTTTCTTACCATGGGATGCGTGCTTCTGTATCAGCTCCGCAAGCTCCTTGGTGGATTCTCTCACTTCTTCTATGTAGCAGACTGGAAACATCATTGATGTGGTGATTCCGGTCGTGCTGTCTGCAGCGAAGAGAAATATTTCGGCCTTACTTATTTGGTCGACGCACCAGAAAATGTGGCGACTTGTATGAGGGGAAGGGTAGCGCCTTAGATTAGACGGTAAGGGTGGCCCTCTTTTGCTGGTGTATTCGAGGTGGTTCAGTGGTAGCACGTTTTATTATCGTTCGCTAAACGTATCGGTGGGGACGCGGCCATGCCCGAAAGGCGTGACCGAAAAAAGAGAGGGGGCTGTGGTGATAGGTTCTGGCGTGTGTCCGAACACACCCGCCAGCCCCACAAAATAGATACAAGCATCGAATGGCAATAAATTAACAAAATAAATATCCAATATACAAAAATCCACTTGCTCCTTGCCCAACATCGTCGTTCCCTGTCCATATACGTTGTTGCTTAGATACGTTGTTGCTTAGTGGTGCCGCCGTTTGAAGGGACCGCCG